ATATAATTATAATAATATATTACTATATATTATTTATAATTATGATTAAATATGATTGAAAGCACCATTTTTATTTTGTTTCTAATATATAAGAAAAGATAAATTATAAATAAAATAGCCATTAGATAAACTAAGAAATATTAGAACAATAAGTGCCCATTATAATTTCGACTACATTACTAAAGAATTTATCACAAAACTTATGCATTAACATTATTCCATTCATGTTAATTATTGAACATTCTATATTTTTACCATATAAATTATAATATGACACAATAAACCTATTATTATAATTTAACATTTTGGATTTAATACAGAAGTATCCTCTAGCAACTATTCATCTCATTGTTAGTATTTTTATCATATTTATAAATAATTTATCAATAATCAACGATTTATTTATATCTATAAAGAATCACTTTTAGTATATCAAATAAGATAAATAATTTAATATCGAAATATTCTAATACCATCTTTCTCCTGTAAATAAAAATTCTGTTAAAATTTCTTTTACCAACGTATTTAGTTTATAGTAGTATATAGCAATAAAAACTTTACTTACTCAAACCAAAAATTTTAAAGACGTATAAATTAATAGATCAAAGCTGCAGAAAACAACAGGAACTTTTTCATAAATAACGCTTCATCTAGAATTCATGGACACGAATTTAACGTCTTAAGATGTTCAACGTAACTATTTTCCTAAATAAGAAATCTTTTACTTTCTCCAGGATCGTAAATTAATGTAGCAGAAGAAAATCGATAGTTGCTCGAACTTGTACAGTTGGAACAAGTACGAAGCTATTCGTAAAAGTTCAGACGACAAACATCGTTTAAATTTCCAGCAGTGCACGAGAAGAAGCTTGCAAATAAATGTCTGAAACAGAGAAGATAATTATGTTAGCCGACAAGTGAGATAATACAATCATACGAAGAAAAATGTTAACTCGTTTATCACCATTGATATTGATTTATTGCAGTGAATTTTGTCAAGGTAGAAATATAATTGTATGCAACAGAGAAAAATGTCTTTGCACAAACATATCTTTTTCGGTATATTAGCTTTTTTAATATCATTTTTTATATCACTATAATTATGGAAGATATTTAGTTGGTAACCTTTAAATGAGCCACCTTCTATATTTATTTATCTTCATCATATCACTTTAATCGTTATTAACTACATGTATTATATTTAATTACATATTACACATCAATAGTATTAACGTTAAACACAGTCTCTATTTATGTCTACAGAAAATTGCTAAAAATGTAAGAACGTTGTATTCAATCTCTAATAATTCACACTTTTGTGTATAATCTAATAGAAAAACTCAACATATATTAATTATCATTAAGTAGTTGATTACAAGATGGACAAATTCTTAATAAAACGTTTGAACGTTCATATTTCATCAAAAATATTTTTCGATCAAATTATTATTCCTCAAATTCAATGTATTTTGATTATAATAAAACAAGTTCGTTTGTACTCTTATTTAAACATTTTATGCTCTTGAATATGTGAAAATCTTTAAAAGCATTTTCTATCACGATTTTATTTCTATATTTATGTTCATATAATAATTGACTTAAATGCATGAAATCATGAGAATCTTGTTATTGCAAGTTACAATCTCATGTAAAAATGAATTTTTTTAATTTGTTTCCAATTTAATTAATTTATCATTTTATTTTTAAACATGTATCCGGTCAGTCGTAGAGAACTTACTTATCTGACTTTTTGGTTCCGTCTATGACTTGTAGATGGCGGGAAGCTCTTGTATAATACATAACCTAATTTATGTGCGATGTTTCATACATTACGTGCAATGAATTTAATTAAAATCTTTAGTTATCGATAATTTCTTTTAATCCTTTACATGGTAAAATTTTTATATTTTGTATATCTTTATACAAATTTATTATATGAATAACAAGTTATATGTTCTGAAGTTATTTTCTGTAGCTACTCTTAAAACTGTATTAAATTAATTTTGAATTCATAGGTACAAGAAAACCATTCAAAATCGATCTGGATCCATGAATTTAATTTGATACACGATTTACTATATTGTGATAAAACAATTGACAAAACACAGATCGCGTTGTATTGGGGCATCTTCGAGCATTAAATCGATGTATAATAGATGAAGACCACACAAGAAAAACACGATAAGTTCATTTTTGCTAATTTTCTCATTTTGATGTCAGTCCATGGATAAAAGAAAGTACATTAATGAGACGTAGTTGAAAAGGAAAACAATTCGTTAAATTTAAAGGCATGTGCTTATTAAAGATAAATAACAAGATTAAGTTTTGACAAAAAATCAGAAGTATGATACGTTCCGTGACAATTTATATTTTTTAAAGGTTTAAAAGATAATTCGAAACCAAACTCTTTCATGAAAAAAGAGAAGTATGGCATTTCTGTTGTAATCTGCAAGTACTATTTCATGACACTTTAGTCACTCAATATCAAGAAATTTCACACTTTTGTAATATCGATCGTTCTACACGTGCAACAATCGATAGATTATTTTATCCTAGCACGTATCGAAATAAATGAAGTTTTACCGTGCCATTTATTAGGTGCGCGTTACGCAGCTTGTTTCGTAAGTGAATCCAGCGAAGAACGTAGAGCGGGGAGGCCAGAGATCGGCGCCTCATTAGAAAGATCCACATATCCCTTCGGGTTCAGCCGTGGCTGCAGGGGCCAACGTCAGAAAAATCTCGCGGAACAAGTCACCCCGCTGCTGTCAGGGACTTACTCGTATCTCGGTCGGTGTATATAAGCGTGAGACCGGGCCTCAGGTTCGTAATAAGACCTGACGGCCAGGTTTTTCAGGGGCCGGCTCTACCGTATTGCTCCGTATCTCCTTCTGCATTTCTTCTCTCTATCGTTCTCTCTTAGCTTCCTGTCGCTCTCTTTTTTTCTCTCCGTCTCTGTCGCCCTCTCTCTTCTCATCCCTTAAATATCTCTCTTTTTCTCTCCTCCTCCCTCTCCTCCTTCTCATCTTGCTGATACTTCTGGCGTTGCTCCTCTTCTTCTTCCTCTTGTGCTCCGTTCATCTTCCGTTTTATCTTTCTCCCCTTTGTTTTAATTTCTATCCTTCCCTCTTCGTCGCTCTCATACCGCCGGTTCTTTCTTCGGGACACACTACTCTTTCTCTCCGTTTCTCTCTCGGCCGCGGCGTCCGATGCCATGCCAGCGGTACCGGTATTAATTTATACGCTGTACGTGTGTGCACGCCGCTTTTTCTCGCAGTTCCTCGAAATTTGCAAGAAACTAGTCGGACACCCTGGCGGCTCGACCGTCTGCCGCATACTGTCCGAGGCAAGCTCCTCACGGTGAGGCTCGCTCGGCGAACCGGCCTCACGAACCGAATGATCGATCAACCAACGATTCACCCCTTTGATATGTCGAGATACCGGGAAATTATTTTCGGTGAATCTTGACGGGTCGAATCGGAGGAACGTGAATTATGCCGGTCTTTGTGCTTCGCGGAGAATATTCTTTGCGTTATATGTACGTTCTTCTTTTTTCCCTTGAAATTATTCCCTGACCTCTCGAGGGATACTGGCGTATATTCCACCGACTAAACGTTTAGGATGGCTTCTAATATTCTCGTAAAGTTTCATGAGAGAAAATGAAATTATTCTTTTAGAAAATTATATTATATATAAATAATATTGCATTGATTTTTTATTTCTTTCGTAAATTATAAGATCTTCCAATTCGTAATTATTTTAATACACTAAATATATGAAATTTTTTCAGTAATGGTGTTAAGCTTGACACATCTTTTCCTGCTGTTGATAAATTGGTACCTGAAAAAAGGAAAAGGAAGTTATATTGGATTATCGATACTTTAATATCAACTTGAATCAATATTCGAGTTTGAGGTAGAAACACACTCTGTATATGAATGTACAGATGAAATTGTATTCAACAATGTTCAACGAAGATATTTAACGAAACAACGTACCATGGAATATTAACATAAAAATAGAAATTTTATTTTGAAAGATAAAAGAAGGTATCGTCGTTGCAAAAATTTATTTTGTGTCAAAGATTCCTACAATTTTCTAATCGTATAGAGAAATTAAAAATACACAAGGAGGAACGTTTATTATCTGAAACTTAAATTATAAAATTATTTTAAACAGATAATATCAAGGCAACAATCGTTTATCATAACTAATTAATGGTTTAATAAATTTTATGTTAAAAAAATTTTTTAATAAATTTTTGTATGTGTCATTTAGTGGTACAGACGTCCGTACCTCAGAATGAAGCGGAACTACAACTATACAGGGTGATGCAACGTGCATCTCTGTTGAGCTACTATGACACTCTTTTAGAAATGGGTAAAGACATTCTTTTTAACCTGTTTGTTGGAATACTATGTCCTTTAGATGCTTTTTAAGTGATACGAAGTCTTAAAATATTAATCTAACGTTAATAAAATTAATACAATTTATGATTTCATTCGTATTGATATTTATAAATGTAATAATTATATTCTATGAACAATGAGTAGTATACAGGATATATCACTAAGCATTATCATGTTGAATATATGTATATTTCACTATATCTAACTAGACAAATCTGTGTAATTAGCTACTGATGATACTTCTATATCATAAATTTATCATATTACTCGAACGATACGGTAAAAATATTTAAGCAAAAAAGATTGAACCATTTCTTCTAAATTATTTAGGTGGTGACGACGTACAACAATTATGTGATGCTGGAGAAGAGGAATTTCTAGAAATTATGGCGCTCGTTGGTATGGCAAGCAAGCCCCTTCATGTCAGAAGACTTCAGAAAGCTCTTCAGGAATGGCTTACAAATCCTTGTAAAGTACCATGATATTACATTACTTTTCCTCCTTAATATCACGATAAATTCAAAAAATTAGATAATAATAGTAGATAATAATAGTAGATAATACAATAATTAGATAAAAACTAATTGATTATGATATCTTTAATACATTTACTGCCATGTTAATTATCAGTAGTCTATTCTGAATTCTTTTATTACCATCTTGTTGATCATCGAACTAATTTTTAATTGTAATAACATTTTTAACTATAATAAAATTCAAAAAATATATTTAGTCTTGATTAAAACTTTTATGGCGTCACTTCTACTCGTAAAGTCATATCGTGACTGTTCTTCAAATAATATCGTTAAATATGAGATTAACACAAATTTGATTACTACGAATTATACAAATTTTGTTACAGCACTTTTTCAAACACCAGTCGTACCGACAACTACATGTAAAACTCCCGCTGGTATAGGATTCCCCTGCGTCAGTCCTAGGCCGCAAGTGCAAAATCTACAAGGTTTCACAACCACCTCGCAAACGCCAACTCCTACACCTTATGTCTCGTCACATGTATCCTTAACACCGTTACCATGCAGAAGTACCAGCCCTATCGTGTCTGTTACAAGTGTAACAGCACCAGTCGCCTCGACAACATTTCGACAAAGTCCAAGTCCCAATACACCTTTACCTTATGCTACTTCTCACAGTCCTGGCGTACTGCAGGTATATCTTAAATTCTATTTGATTATTTTCATTTATACAAAATATTGTAATTTAATGTTTGATAAGTGATAAATGTAGCATATCTACCATTCTACTTTCTTTTTCAAGCAAAAAATGATAGTTTTTTACTTTCGTCTCTTTTATGAATTACCTACATTTTTTTATATAAAAATTGACATCAACAAAAATTAATGTCAGCTATAATATTCTCATGAATATAGCAATTTATTATAATTGTTTTCGAAATAACTAAAATTTTTATTCTGTAGTAAAACAATATCAGTCATCAAACTTTATTGTAATTTCCCTGTACACTTTATTTTAAATTTCACAATAAATACTGAAATCATAAAAAATATTATAACATAATTAAAAATATTAAGTAACATATAATTGCTTACTTAAAACGTTACTAAAATCCCACGTAAACGTCCCGTGTATGGTGAGTTGCTCATCGGTAGGCCCTTGTAGTCATATTTCAATTTTTGTTACTAAATACCAAAATAAAACAAACAATGATATATGTATACATAAGAAGAAAGATATTTCTGTCATTATAATTATGAAATTAATTAAGAAAATCAACTATAACCTACTTAACAATCCACTCCTTATGAATTTGCCTACCAAGTTACAAATATCCTGGTCTCTAAAGCTAAAAATTTGTACTGCTCTTCAGAATACATGATTATTTATTGTATTATATTTTAATATAAATGTATTTTACAATATTATTTTATAATTGTCTATAATTATCTCATATATATCACTGCGGGTGAAAATAAATGCGTTATCGAAGAAATATTACTGCTTTTAGGTAGGAACATGTGAGTCATCCTGTGGCAGTGGTGCAACACCAAGTCCTAGCGGTGGTGGTGGTGCACCTGCAAGTCCAACTCAACCCACCCCAACACTTCTGCAATCCCAAATACAAAGACTTGCAGAAGCAGCTGAAAGACTTGCTACCACCATACGACCTGTCGATCCGAAACCTCATAATGTTAAGAAAAAAATTTGCAAAAATTTAGAGGTAAATATTATTTGGTCATATTGATAAGTTAATACTTTACTTTTAATATTTCTACGAATATGACTTATAAATTTCATATAACCATATTACTTATAGATGGTAATGGCTATGCCTGATAGTGATCCACATAGAATGGAAGAAATTCGAAAATACGCAGCAATTTATGGAAGGTTTGACTGTAAGAGGAAACCGGAGAAGCCATTGACATTGCACGAAGTGTCAGTAAATGAGGCTGCTGCACAAATTTGCAGGTTCGTACCTGCCCTTCTTACTAGAAGAGATGAACTTTTTCCTTTGGCCCGCCGTGTTGTGAGAGATTCTGGGTATCATTATTCAAAAAATCATTAGTAAGTATCTTTAGTTTGTATAAACTATTGTAAATTATTATCAAATATTGAAGATTAATATAGGTAATAGAACAGGGGAAAATAAAATACAACAAAAATGTTTGTTGATGTCCTCCTTCCTCGTTAAATTCTTTGGATACAGGAAGTTTGATCAAATTTATGATTATTAAGTCAATTAAAATATTATACTCATATTTAAAATGCTTTAGCTTATCCGTGTCGAGGCCACGTGAAAATGGCGAAGAAAACGAAGCCGAGCGAACAAAACGACAAAAGCTCGAGCTTGAGGGTGAGAATGAAGATGCGACGCAGGTTAGCTCACCTCGACTGTAAAAATAAGCCATGTACAGGTGATTCCAGTTCAGAATCATCATAAACTTGGGATAAAGTCAGAGATTTTTATATAATTGAAATGTAACATATCTTGTACATTGATATGTACAAGCGTAAAGAAATAGATATAGAGATATTATTATTTTACATTTAAAATTACGCTTTAAAAAAACAATTTTATTAGACAATTAACAAAAAAATTAACAAAAAATTTCCTTGTTAACATATCTAACATATTAAGTAGAATATTATAATTTTTATGATAGGCAATCTAAAAGAACAAAATCAGTCATTTTTCAAAATATGGTGTATACCCTAAATATAAAAAGAAAAATGTTCCAAAATCCTTGATGGAATCCCAAAGTTGTGGTTTGATTTGGGATCGTTGGCATATTAACGAGCTGCTGCACTCGCATGAACGCTAACCACTAACTATGCATCCAGCACGTAAACAATTGCAACATGTAAACTACCACTATGATGATATACGCGTGAAGCACAAGCAGAAAAGGTCAAGTATAGCTTTTGCATAACATGCATGGCTTTGCACTGATTGTTTGTATACATATGTTCATTAATTAATAAATTTTTAAAAAGTTGTTATATTTTCATAAATTTATAGATACGAAAATTCTTTTCACGAACTATGCTTTTTGCTAGATAGTTATTCAATTAAAAATTCACTACTATAGAAAATAATATAAAACTATAGAACTATTTTGGAGTTATTTTCTAAAAAGATTATTTTTTATACAAAAAGAAATATTTTAGAATTATCTCTTTATAAAATTATCGAACTAAATAGAAATTAAGCTGGAAAATTATGAACATTAAGTTTCAAAGTTTTAATTTTAAAATAGTTTTCTTGTAAATTAATTAATGTTTTATATTTTATTCCATATATATATATATATTTTTAAACAATTTAATTTATTAAAACTGAATTAATATATCATAAATGAAATTACTATCTAGTATACAGTCAAATATTTTCTTCCACACTTGTTATGACTCTATGCTTTGTTCCTAGTGTCCTTACAAGTTGTATATGCTTATATTACTTATGAACAATTGTTATTAACTGTAATAATAATAATTAGCTCCTAACTTTCATATCACATGCTATATTTATCATTTCTACTATCTATAGCAGTTCACTGTTCTAGGAGGAGTTGGATTTACGTTGTCCCGAAATGGATATAAATAACTCGACAATCAGAAGACATAGATCTTCAAGGTGATTACTTTGAGCTCAATTGGATGTTACTATTTGTCATTAAATAAATAAAGTATTATAAACTACTTTACATAAACATTTTATGAAATGTAATACTCGCATTGCCATTACTAAAAGGCTATAATAGGTATCTTCTTATCAAAAATTTTTTTTTAAACTTATTTTGTCTGAAACAAAGCTTTAGTTAGATAAATTTTATTCTTCACTTTTTTATTTATTTCACTAATAAGAATCATACATAATTCGCTAAAAAATCTACTTATTTTGAAAGTATGTACATTATATTTACTTATTAAAATGAAAAATTAATGGGACCCATGAATGAAGGAAAGTTAAATCTTAGATGCAAAACAGATAAAAATTATGGTAATGCGTATTAATAAGGGTATTTAAAATATTGCAAATAGTACCCAAAATTTTTAATATTATATGTATATATTAAACCTTATTAATTTGGTAATATTTAATTAATTAGGAGATCATTTTGCAAGTATATATTGATGTTCAGACATTTGCATTGTTTTAGTCCAGTTTGGAGGAAGAAGAATAACAATGGTATGTTCAGTGCGAGTATCGAAGAGATTAGTGACTCTGATAGTCAGCTTTCATTTTCAAATGAAGAATCATCATCGATACACGTAAGTGAATAAATTTCAGTAATTTTTGTAATGATTTTACTAAATCACTGCCATCATTATCAGTTAATCAATAATATACATTTCCAATAAAAAAAAACTACAGTACAAAATACAAATTTCACATATATATGTTTTAATTAATTAAAATTAACAAATGACTATTTTCAGGACACTAATGAAGTTGAAGCAGATAATACAGATAAAGAAAGTGATTTCAATCTTAAGGTGAATTTTCATTCTATTATCATACAATAAATATCTACATAGAAAATATTCACATGGAAAAGTGCTTATTAATTTAGTATTGAGTAAAATAAAAAGATATAAAATTTCTACTTTCGATTTTTAGTATATATTTCTAATTAATATTTACATATTATTAATTAATAACAAATTTAATAATGTACTTTTATTTCGATGTTATTTTACGTGAAAGCCGATTTATTAAACTGAGGAATTATTAAATATCTACTAATCATTAAATTTTTGTCATACTAATCATTAATTTCATCTACTATAGGTAATAGCTTCACGGGGAGACAATATAATTGCAGTAGCAAATCCTGCATTAATGGAATGTAGTCATCCTATAAAAGAAGAACCAACGGACGAAAAACCAACGCTGTGATATTGTTAGAAAATTGTATTATCATATTTACGTAATTCCCAGAAACATATTTCAGCTTGTATTACAATTAGTATTATTATTACATGTATTTGGCCATTGTCGTATTATTTACTATAATATAATTTTCATGTCAGTTGTAAAAATTTTTTGATTAAAAATTAATTTAAGATCAAAATTAATAGATGTTTTAATTATTTTGTGTAAAATGAATAAAATTATGTTAATGCGGCATTGGTCATTATGTAGTTTTAATAAATTCTTCGTATATATTTTAAACTACTAAACATACAATTGGATGTTGTATATATTAATTTCTTTAAATCAAAACAAAGCGTATAATGACTGAAATATAATTGCGTATTGTATGACATTAAAATTTGTAAATATATAATGAACATTTTTTATTCAATGTATTGTATTTTTAAAGCAATCTATACATTATCACTCAATTTATGTAAAGTTAATAAATATACACGAAAATAATTACTTCATATTATTATAAATTCATGAAAATATATAGTTTTTTATTTAAAATTATGTTTCAAAGAATTCTAGCTTTTTTAAATTATATATCATTTTTTTTTTAATTTGTAATTTACTTGATGATAAATTAAAAGTTTTTTTTTGTATATAAAATAATATTATTAGACATAAAGTTCTTTTTATAAATTAATAAATAATATAAATTACAAATATGTGAATAAAAATCACATGAATATGTTGGAATATGGGGAAGCGAAAGCGTCTAATGTATCAAATCTTTAGGCAGCATAATAAAAATTATTTATTTCTGTAAATTACGAATAACTACGTATAAATACTATGCTATGAACTTGGTATCGATTGACTAATGAATTTTGGAAGAACGTGGGGGAGGGGGGATGATGCATGACGTGCGTGCCTGTGGTTCGTGATTACGCGCGCGATGACGTTGTGTCTCCTTTCCACAGAATAGAATTTTAATTTCTTATAGTATTGCAACAACATTTGCCGCTCTTATAAACGATTATATCGATTATGAAATACATTGAACTATCAAAGTATCAGATATAAATGTAATAATAAAAATTTCATTAATACTTTATTATTAATTAATAATTATTAAATATGAAAGAATAATAATTATTTAATATTCACTTCTTTTATACGCACTTAAATAAACTTTTATAATTAACAATGTAACATTCATACGTAACATTCATACGTATAGGTTATGTTTATATACTTCTGAAGAGGAGTACACGTGTTAAAATCATTTATAACTTATTTAATTTAAGTTTATTTTACTGAAACGATGGCTTTGAAAACAAAGAAAAATTCCTTGGCAGATAAAATAAATTCTTTAATTTCTACAAGACCAACAGTTTTTAATTCTGATGATGAAACAGAAGATACGAAAGCAAAAGTAGTTGAGCATTATAATGAAAGTGATAACTCAGATAATAATTTCCAAGTTTCGCAAATACGTAGACAAAATTTAGATTCCTTAGACCAAGTAGATGAAAGGTACATATAAACTTCATTTTAATTTGATAAATGAAGTATTTTGTCATTAAATTATTAAATATTATAAATTCTATTATAGATATAAAGGTAAAAAAATTTCAAGAAAGAATATATATAACAACGATAATGAAGATTTTGATTTACAAAATATATCAGACAGTGAAAATGAAGAAATGGATAGTATGGAGGAACAAACTGATGATGACATAAATGATAGTAATAATGAAACAGAAATTGAAAATGATGATAGCAATACTGAAGATGATGAAAGAGATAATAATGTTAATGATGATGACATTTATGATAGTGAAATAGATGTAGAACAACATTCTAAAGATGAGGAAGATATATCTGATACTGAAAATGAAAATATTGATACCTCTTTTACAAAACAAGAAAAAGATATACAAACAATATCACAGACAAATGTAAGAACAGATATAGAAAAAGGTAATTGTGTTAGAAATCAATTAAAACTTTGGGAAAGTTTGTTAGAGGTAAGAATAAAATTACAAAAGTGTTTAATCACAAGTAATCAACTGCCTCAATATAATGTTTACAAAGATTTTAAAACAAATACAGAATATATGAAAACAGCTAATGAAATGACAAATAAATTGAAAACGTTATTAAATAATATGTTGCAATTAGAAAGTTTTCTTTTAAAACAATATCCTGAAACAAAAAGTTTACCAGCACTTAAAAAAAAGAGAAAAGCTGAAGAAAGCACAGATAAAATAGCAAATGCAGAAGACTCAATAGATGAAGAAATTCCTTCGAGTACAGAAGATGAAAATACAGAAGATATTGACAAAAATGTATCTAAGAAAAAATTAAAACTATACAATTATGAGAAGATATTAAATGATAATCATAAATCATATATAGAATACAGAAATTCTGTTATACAAAAATGGAATGAAAAGACAAGAATAGCTAGTGGTAAATTAAATAAAGGTATGAATGAATCAATGTTGAACCAAATTGAATTTGCTTTAAATGATAAAGAAAAACTATATAAACGGAGTAGGCTAAAACGTTCAGAATATAAAATCATTGGTAAGACAGAAGCAGCAGATGATAATGATGGTCGCAGAATTCAAGAATATGATTCTGAAATTTATGACGATGATGATTTCTATCACCAACTTTTGAGAGATTTAATTGAATATAAGTCAGCTGGTATTACTGATCCTATACAACTTAGCAAACAGTGGATACAATTACAAAATATGAGGCATAAAATGAAGAGAAAAATAGATACAAGAGCTACTAAAGGTAGAAGAATACGATATAATGTTCATAATAAATTAATAAATTTTATGGCTCCAATTACAATAAATGATATATGGATGGATCATGCAAAAGATGAACTGTACAATTCTTTATTTGGCAAAATTAAATGATCAAATGAAGAAATTGGTTGTTAAGTTTAAAACAAATTAATAAAGTGTTAATTTTATATATTTTAGTGAAGACTATTTTATAAGGTTTATAGGAATTTGATAATGGCATGCTTTTTAACGATATAAATAAAAAATAAAATTTGTTTATTGAAATTTTTTCAGTTTTTAAAACCTTTCTAGAATCCTGAATCCTTGATGTTAATAATTTCAATGTTAGTTGTACTAGTTTTATGATACTGTTATTGCGTAATAATAATTTTGTTTTATATGTAAAGGAATCATAATATTAATTGATTTTTCATATATAATAAATAAAAATAAAATATTGTATAAATTATATTTTAAAAGATCTATTATTAAAATATTACAATAAAAATAAAAAGTTGAAAATTAATGGATTTGAAATAATTTGTAGAATTGATGTAATATAAAATTTAAATAGGATAATTACCTCCATTTTATGCACAGTTTTATAATTCATTTTTAATTTAATAATAAACTGATATTTATAAAAATATATAACATTTCCTTTTTCTTATATTTATATACAATTAACGTTTGATGAGAAAATTATTCGACACTTTCTATTTTTTATAAGAAATTTCGAATTTATTGGCGATAATTTACGTCTTTGAATATAAGAAGCAATGAAGAAATCTTTGCAAATTATATTCTTACTATACATCGAAAATCTAAGCGACACTGACGCCTCTATATTCGTTTTTTCCTTAATCAATTACTTCAAGCTCTAAAACTAGTAGACTCACTATAATGTATATTTGACCCATGGTACAGGTGCATCTTGTTTCATTCTATCCAATTCGACCGGTGATTACGCTCGAACGAGCAGTCAGTAGTTATGGATTCTACTTGTCAAAATTCAGATTTCAATACTAAATATTTGCTTGGACAGTTAAATATAGCCAGAAAAGAAATTAACAATTTGAGGTATTATTTGCATTCTTTTATCGTATCATGTCTTTATAAATTCACAGAATTATTTGAAATGATATCAACAAGTTTCATTCAAACATGCTGTTTTCTATATATTTGCATATTTTTAATATATATGCAACTATATGCACTCGTGTAATTGAAGCACACTATTGTGTAGTCATGGAATGTATAAACATTGTGGTGTATTGTATATGAGTTAAATAAATAATACGAATGAAAATATTAATATTTGCTATAGATTGTGATAATATTATATTTCTTTATTAAAAGACAATAATGTAAAAAATAATTACACCCAAATCATATAATAATTGTCATTTTTTAATTTTATAGACAACAAATAAGACGTCTTCGTTACATACATGAGAAAGATGTTGATACTATAATGCGTCTTTTAGAATCATACAAAAATGGACCATCAATGTCTGAAGCAAAAGTTATAGCTCCAGATGATGTCAAACCTAGCACTAGTACAGATGATGATACTATAAAATTAAAACCAATTGGAATAATATCTACTTGGTTTCCTAGTAAACGTGGTACACCAAGACAAACAGGAATCTGTGGAAAAGTACCAGGAAAATTATTATTATATAATTCAATATTTACCAATCCTGATCATGCACTTGAAGGATTACAAGATTTTTCACATATGTGGTAAGAAACCTAAACAAATTTTAAAATATGATATATTTCTAAATTGCGAAATTAGTATTGTATAAACACAGCAGAATCTTAATATGTTCTATATTTAATAAAAAGTATATATTTTAGCTATTATAGGTTACCAATAATCCATAAGACATAACAGTTGACCTTTAAAATTATTTTTCATGAAAATTTTTTGTTTGTGATAACAATGTGCACAGAAACAGCAAAATTTGCAAGAGAATTCATCCATGAATGATATTGTCTTAAATTTTAATAATTTAACATCACTTTCTATTAAATTGTTTATTTTACATAATTTTATTTATTTTTATACAGTTAAGATAAAATCATTTCTTGTTCAACAGGGTCCTATTCCACTTTCACAGAAATGATTCAACACATGTTCGTGCCAAAGTTGCACCACCAAGATTAAATGGTACGAAAACAGGTGTATTTTCTACACGTTCTCCACATCGTCCATGTCCAATTGGTTTAAGTTTAGTAAAAATTACAAATATAGAAAATCATACAATTTATTTTGAAGGTGTAGACATGGTTGATCAATCACCTGTATTAGATATAAAACCCTATATACCACAATATGACAGCCCATTATTTTTTGAGAAATTAAGTAACAGATCACAAGAATCTAATTTAGATGATGCATTTGAATGCATAGAAGAAACGGCAAGAAATCAGACACAATGTAGCACATTTAGTACTAATATTAGTCTTGGAGATGAAACAAGAAGTTTATTGTCAGAATCATATTATAGAAAAAATACTAATAAAACAAATCAAGAAACAGATGTTTCTAGAGATGAAGAAATAGCTCTAAGGTTACAAGCTGAGGAATTTCAAAGAAATTCGAACTTTGAAAGTTACACTAGTATAAGACATTTTTCTGAATTAAGTGATATCAATTTGCACAATAATAGCGCACTACAACATAATATAGATGTAACTGGAATACATAGAACTCATACATTTTCTGATACTTTGACTGATACAAGGTCAAGTCTGAATATAACTGGACATAACGTACTTTCGTCTAATTTGGAACAAACGGAAAGCTTAGTAGATATAAATAATAGATTACAAAATATTAACGTAAGCGGTCGTAGTAATATAGAACCAACGTATGGATCAAGAAACATAGGATCTAATTATACAGAAACACATGCATCTCGATCTAGACTTTTAGATGGAGCCGATGGACCAAATACCATTTGTGGTACTGATATAGATTTAATTCGTAGAAGATCGTTAAGTTCAAGAATTGATAATTCTCCTGTAAGGATGGGGGTACGAGAAGCTCCCGATGGAGAAGAAGGATTAGAACCGCAAATTCTTACTCCTTCGCAACATTTATCGAGTCAAGTAATAAGAACAACATCAAACAATAGTTTACCAGATAGTGGGGATACACATTTAGTATTTTCCTCTGAATCAAGAAATATTGAAAATAGAGAATCAGGAGCTAATACTTCAGAAATAAGAATTCCAGAATGGATATCAAGACCTCGAACACCCTTGTGTGTGGTATTTAACGATCGTGCTTTAATTCAATTAAACGAGATTTTAGGAACTAAAATTAATGACCAAAAAGTAGCCATTGAAAATGTACTTCGCGAAGATCCTAGATCGGTATATTTAAGGCAACGATGGGGTAGTCAATTTTACACTTTCTTAATTCACGATTTACACATCACTTGTAGATTTGATGATAACAGAGGTATAGTAACAGTTTTTCAAGTCAGACACGCTGGTCGTATTTGTGAATGTGGAGAACCTGAATGGCAATGTTTGGGTCATTCACCACCTTCATCTTAAATACAAGCACATATGTATGTGTAAATATGTATATGTGCATATACAGTATATGCATATGTATATGAATAACTTTAATTTGCTACTATTTTTAAATTTGTTGATTATATTGTAAAAGAATGTACAATTTAATTTATACATTTGTAGGATATTTTATATTCCATACCATTTGAGTTTAAAAAATTTCCTTATTAAATTTTAAAGAAACGCTATTTAACACTTTAATTACGGGTTATCGAATATTCCATATTTTTCGTACAACTTAATATTTATCAATGAATTATATTTATAAAAATTATGTTTTTAGCCCTCTCGTGGTATGCAAAATTTAAACCATTTAATATGAAAACGTCATTAATTTCAACATCAAATTTATATAACAGATAAAAATTTGGAATAATAAATAATCGTAATAATTCGATTAAAAATATTAAGATTGAAAATGCAAAATATTTTACGAATAACAAATTAAATGTAAAAAAAAATAATTTTTTTTCCTCCTTGAAATTGAAATTATTATTAAGTGCAATATAATTTCTAAAATCCTACTTTTTCGAAACGTATTTTTATGTTTATTATATCCGAAATTAGTTTTTATATAAAAAGTAACTTAGTCAAATATTATTCAGTTATATAAATATTTTGTATTTTTATAATTTTTTATATTCTATCATTCATTGATAATTTTAATACTGAAAACATTTCATTTTCCTATATTCTTTATACTTTTTTTCTATGTATGTAAAAATTAGTATTAGATGTTTCATAAATGCGTTAATATATATGTATCCAAAAAATTGATCTGATTTTTAATCTAAGGTGCATTTAAATATTGAATCGTTGCGAATCTTGTAAATTATGGTATGTAAAAATAGATAAATCTTTTATTATTTTGATTACGAAATATTTATTATATAATCGTTTATGACTTTTTTTAATCGTAATAACACGATCGCATAATTCCTTATTGCGATACAAAAGTTCCTATATGTTTAGTCTCTGTAAACAATTACAATGCAAAAGTTATATTTCAAATTTATGCGTAAAATAAAATATTTGAAAAAATTTATTTTAATTCTTATAGTTTTAAAAAGTTATTCATCAAAATTTCTACAATGTGAATTTGATAATATTAGTTTACATCTTATTGCATTGAAAATTATGTTAAAAGACTCTTATAAGGAAAAAACATTTGTTAATTAAAATTATAAATATATATATACCATTCAAGTATACATTCGTATTGATGAATCCGCACCCGCAGAAAATACCCATGGTTGAATAGGGTGAAACATCACGTCCAAAATACCAAAATCATTGTAAGATTCGTGATTGTATAATCTTTTAAGTGGTACAATTAATGCATTTTGCAACAAATCACTAAAATATATTATAAAATAAATATAAATATTAACAACAGTATCAAGTGATTGTAAATATAAATTATCTTACTTGTACACCATTCCATGGGAAACAATAAGACTCCTATCATCAGCACCAGATGCAAAAAGAGGATATCTTTTGTGAAATGCAACACCACGAACACCTGTACCATGTAAACGTAATGTCTGGTAAGGTTTTGTACTTAAATCAAGATCAAACCATAACGTTTTACGATCATAAGTGCCTACTAAAATATTATCACCTCCTAGGAATACAAATACAATTATTAAACAAAACAATATTGATATAAGTTCATATAATGTTGAGTTTACTTACCTGGATGTATTGCCATTGATGATATCCATTGTGAATTCGATAACAATTTTTTAATCATTTCTTGTTTCATTAAGTCATATATTCGTACGTTTCGTTGAGTCTAAAATTATTTTATTATAATTGTACACTTGGAATTTTATATTTAAGTTATATTAATTTCTACTTACTGCTACAAACAAATAAGGCCTAATTGGATGGAATAAGACACACTGTATTAAACCTTTAGATTTGGTGAAAGGCAATTGAGATCTTCGTTTCGACAATTGATTTATTAAGACAGATCTATTTTGGCCATCTGGCATAACAGTTGCAAAATAATCACCTTTACCATGCCAGGTTACTTGTTTTACTATTTTAAAATGATTTAAAATTATTCTAATTCCATTAGTCCAGTGTTCACCTCCTGCTTGTTCCCACTGAACAGCAGTTTTCACTCTCTCACTCACTGTAAGAAAAAGATATGTAATTATTTCAATTTTATCACTTTTAATTATAGTAAAATATAATCTATAATGATATAATACATTATATTTTACAATACCTATAACATCACTTTGAGGTATTATTTCTAATAATTGATTTGTTTTGTTAGTAATTAAATGATCTCCAATACCAGGATTTATTAAAAGAACCTTTTTATCTGCAGCAACTGCTATAAGTGATAGAGATTGATTTGGACACCATGCTACAGATCTAATTATTCCCCCACATGGTACTGTTTTGACACATCTGCCCGTTGCTATTTCCCATACTGTCAAATAGTTAACATTATTTTATATAACTTTATTAATTTATATTTTATATAAAAAATATACTTACATTTTAAATTCATATCATCACCACCAGAAGCAATATATTGACCCATTGGCTCTGCAGTAATACTTCTTACCATATCTGTATGTCCTTTAAATATCATAGACATTGTAGTAGGAAATGGTTGTAAATCCTTTGGACTTGGTAATTGGGGTACTAATGCTTCAGGTTCTATTGTTAATCTCATTTTCAATGCTCTAGGACATAAGTATAAATCTAAACACCTCTGAAATCTTTCTTTAACATATTTAGGATAAGCAGGAACTTCACGAAGTGAATTATATTTTTGTGGAATGAAATGTAATTTTCGTTTCCATGGTGTTGCCTGTAATTTATTCCATTCTTTTAATTCTTTTTTATCAAATAGATATTCTGGTGGAGGATTATAACTTTCTGCATGTCCAGGTAAATGCCTTTTTGGTGGTGGAATATGTTTATGAATTCTACGCATTTCTTCAGCTTGATCATCTGATTGCCACAACATATAAAATTGTGGTTCATTCTTTTTTTGTTCTCTTTCTTTTTTTAAATCAGCAGTAGATTTTATCCATCCCATTTTAAGTGCATGAACTAATTTGGATATCTTTTTAGCTTCTGGTTTAGATGGTAAAAATGAACGTTTATGTTCTGGAAATTTACGTAATGGTGTTTTCATCACTTCTGAAGTAAACCATTCTATCCATGGCTATAATAAAGCATAAGTAAAAACTTAGCACAAATTATTATCAATTACAAAATATTAAAAGAAGAAAAATTATATTAATGTTATTGAAAAGATACATACAGAATATTCATCAAAAGTTACATCAGGAATTTTGCGTTTTTGTATTCTTGTAATCAAATCAATATCTGCTTCACTTAATACAACATCTTGCCCAGTTTGAGGATCCTTAATTGTTCTCCAAAAATCAGGATCTTCCATTCTTTTCAAAAAATTATCTAATTGATCACCTTTTTGAGGTTTTATAATTTTTTTACCATCCCAATTATAACCAATATGATCATATTCATCATACCATTTCATTGGTATATTTCCAACTGTATTACGAATATCTTCTTCATCAGAAGTATCATATTCGTATTCATTTATTTGCCGATTTGTTTCTGATTTATCACTATTTACATTTTCATTAATTGTATTACATTTGGTATTTCCCTTAATATCCGTATTCTCTTCAAATTTTTCTACATTATTTGTTTTTAAATCATTTTTATTTTGTGCTTTATTTTTTTGTGTAACTTCTGAAATAAATGATTCATCAGATTTATTTGTTTTGTTTGTAATGGGCTTGCTATGTTTGTGGTTTTGCAATGTATTAGATACATTTTTATTATTATTATTAGATATGGAAGATTTATTTTTATTTATTTTTATAGATGTATTATCCTTAGATGCCAAAATAATTTTTAAATTTTTCTTTTTCTTTTTCGAAATATCATTTGCACTTCCATTACTACTTTCATCAAGAGAAATACTATCATTTTCAGAATAATCTTTGGCTAAACTATCATCTGAATTGATCTCAAAACTTAATTCATCTTCTTCATCATCAGATTCAAAGACAATTGGATCTCTTTCAGTGTCTGATTCAGGAATATCTTCATTCTCATCTACTTCCTCATCTGTACTTTCATCATTATTATTTACTTCATTAGACAATAAATCTTCAGCTCCTGAATCCTAAATAATTCTTTTTGTTAGTTAAATTATTTTTTTATTTTCTTACAATACAACATTTTGTTTAAATGAGAAATATTATAATTTATGTGGTTATAACTTATATACTTTTATGGTAGTATCAAAGTTTATTTAATAATATTTAATTATGTGCATTTGTAGAAAATTTTAACCAAATTTATGTAAATATTTTAAAACATATGGATTAAACTTATTAATTTTTTCTTTTTTGTTTAATATTACATAATAAACAATTTTTACTAAAAAATTATATTTCTAAAATGTATTTTGCGTTAAAATATTTGCAAAAAAATAATAGGTTAAAATATGCCAATAAAAAAGATATTACCGATTCTTCTTCAAGTATGGATTTTATTAAATCTCCTCCTTCTTTCTTTATATTATTGTCACTTTTTACGTTATTTAATTTTCTTTTGGAAATTTTTCGTTGTTCCTTCATTATTTCTTCATATGTACACAAATAGCAATGAGGTTATGTACATTTCACGTGTATCGATAGTTTCAAATTTACATGTATAATTACCAACTGAATCAGTGTGAATTGCAACATTAAATCCGTGTTATAAATATAGCATATGAATTAGCCATTATTTTTCATAGATAATATTAATATTATTTATTTATTTCCTATTTTATAAATTTAATTATAATAAATTACAAATTAATATAATGTAAAATATATATTGATATTAAATTTTAATAATTTTACTGAAAGTAAATTAATAAATAGGTAGATTTTTATCAACAGTATTCGTATTTATTAATTACTTATAAGAATGTTTAAGTAAGCCTTTTTTATTTTTATAGAACATCATTTTTATTGAATATTTAATAAATAATTCATAGATATGTAAAGGAATGTATATTATAATTTATTATTCTATGAATTAAATATTTAAAGTATTATGTGTATCATTTGTTGTTAAAATATAATCTATTTTGGTTAATTCATACATATTATATAAATAAATTATTTTATGTATATACACTTTTCTATACATTATCTTTTTAACATTTATATATTAATAGATAGGGAAATGCTATTAATTAATTAAATAACTATTGATGAAAAATAATAAAATTTTGTAAATTGCTTGTGTAACAATGTTTCTCAATTTGCTATATCGCTATACTATATTTTGTTTGTTGTGCTGTATTGGGTGGTGTAGTTGTGGGATGAATATGAACAGGTAAATCCCAAATCATTGTTTCAACATCCAAAATTAATGGTCCTTGCCAATTAATAGTAGTTTCATTGGGTATTTCTACCAACTTAGAAGTTGTAACAAATTCGAAATGTAATCTCCATTTTAGTGTCATTAAATCAGTGGTAAAATCTGGAGTTACATGTAATGGTATAGGTAATACTAAATGAGAGTATTTTAAACCCATACACATTTCATGATGTTTATTATAACTGAATAAAGTTGGTGTAGCCTTTCCTCGTCTATATTCTTCTGATATATGTTCTTCTGATTGCAACGCAACGGATACTTGTGCACAAGAAACGGTAGCGCTTGAAAAATCGAATGTTCCAACTATATCTTCTCCAAGTTTGTACGAATTTTTAAAAAGACAAAATCTCACGACGCGTCCACGACCATTTGTAATATTATAAAAGTTTGGACTACGTCTAGCTGTTAAATTCTAAATATAAAAGCAAGATATTAATTAACTATATTTATGTATAACACTTATTTTTTTAATGAAAAATATAATATACCTGAAGAGTTTGTAATGCAACATCTAATGGAGTATCTCTGTGTTGTGTTTCCATGAATGGATTATTTGGGCTTAAATCAATACTATCATTACAAGCACTTACTTCAGGCAATTCTGTTAAAATTATATTAAGTTGAAAATTACATGTATTACAGGGGTGTTCAAATCATTACGTATAAGGTAATATTTTATATATGTTTATGGATATGAGTTTAGTATCTTAAGAGATTTAGTTCAAACTATCTTTCTAAATAATAAATTTGTTGTAGAAATGTTACAAATATTTTCAACATCTAAGATAAGAATAATAGTTGATAAAAATTTACAGATGAAATAATTTGTACACTGCTGTATATTAAGTAACAAACAAGATTAAGTAATATACTACCACTCAAAGAAAGTACTCTAAATGGAACTCTAAGTAATTTTATAGCTGTGTTTACTCGTTGTGTCCCAACTGTAATTTTATATGAATATTTCACTGCATGTCCTCTATAAGATGGAGGTGCATCACTTGGAATTGTTTCTCGATAAATATCTACAAAAACTTAAATATATCAATTTTTGATCATATACAATATGTCCAAATTAGAAATAAAGACTTACATGTTTTACTTTCGCCAGGAGATAATCTTAAATCACAGAATAAAATTTTTGGCTTTGTATTTAAAACAACATGACCATTATCCTGTTGCCATGGTGCAAATGTTGTATCTGCAAGACACTTATTATAAAAAATAAACTAAATGAATGACAAAGTTATATTAATATTAAACTATGAAAACAAATTAAGTAGTAAACTACTAAATAATTTGTACATAATTTATGTTATTAAAAATAAAAAGAACATTAACTTACTTGCATTAATAGCTGCTAGTTGAGCTGTCATGTTAAGTTTCTCTGAAAGGACAATTTTACTATTTGTGGAACATTGACAATGAACTTGAGCACTAGCCCATGCAAGACTCTCAAAAATATCACTAAAATTTATTACAATTATACATCAAAATTTAGCTCTTTGATATCAATAATTTAATTACATATTACCTGTGGCTTTGAGAAATTTGATGAATTGGATTTGGTGGATTACTAAATGTAACCAAACATTCTATTACTTCACCAGAAAAATATACAGGTCCCCTAATTAATTTTGCTGTTATCTCAATCATAATTGTTGTTATAAATTAGTAACAAACTTCTTAAATAAATCACAAAATATGTTAGTTATCTTTAGTCAAAATACATTAATTGATGTCATAAATTCGTCATATAACACTTTATAATAAATTAATTTTTTTTTAATTTTATTACATAGAACGATATTTAAAATTAAGTTTATGTACCATTTCCAATTTATAAAATAAATATTTTGAACATTACTTCATTACTTTATTTTGACTTACTCTACAATTGACACTTTTAGAATTTAACTGACTATTAGTCTTGAAATATATAGATATAAGAGTGTCAATGGTATTACGCACGTATACAAAATTTAAATATCAGTTTACAATATTTCAGTATAAAAATTATTTATTTAGTTGTAGAATTAACATTATTACTTAACTTATATCAAATTTATATTTACATTCATCTCACGATTCAACATGTAATTGTTGATAAATAGTTTACTAAAAGTACAAAGCACAGTGGAATCATTTATTAATAAAATGATTTTTGTTTTATCTAAATCCCACAATATCAAAAAACTTAAATTACATAACGAACATTAAACTTCTAAAATATACAATGACAAAAATAACTGCATGTGAAATTTTTGATCACATGGAGAATAAATATTATACACTTTATGTAGAATGGTTTAATTCATATTTTAAAGTAATATTACTGGAATCAACAATGCTACCATTAAGTGGTGAGGTTAGTTCACGAAACTGAAGACAACATTAAAATTTGAATTTAGGTTACATTTAATTCTGAAAATTATATGTCTTTTACTATCTTTTTAAATGACAACTATTACGTTATAGATGAATATCGATAATGTAAATCATTTTTCTGCTGAATTATCTAAATCACCTGATGAATACCTCAAAATAACTGAAAAAATACTTTGTGGAGAAGATACAGAAATACAATTTTTTATTAAAAATAAAATTTTAGAATGGAAAAAAAAGGTATGGATCTATGGGAGAATTGAATTACATTCTATTTCAGATATCCAAGTGGTTTGTGAAAGTTTTCAACAATTAGTGAAATTTTACAATGGCGTTCAAAATAAAATAAGCATATTGAAAGAAGAAAACAAAAATTTGATATATATAAATGAACAATTAAGTTTGAAAATACAAAATATGATAGAATTGAAAACTACTATGGAAGAAGATCTTTATACAAAATTTATAGTAATCTTAAATTCTAAAAAAAAGAAAATTAGAGAGTTAGAAGAAGCTATAAAGGGAAAAAAAGATGCTAAAGAATCAATTTTTGATGCATGTACAGATGAGAGTGGAGAATCAGAAAATGAAGATAAAATTATAAAAAATGTTCCCACAGTCTCTATCAAAATTGGCAAACGAAAATCTCTTAAAAATGATAACTCAAAACATATGCAGAAAATTACAAAAACAAATGATATTGTTGATGATAAAATAATTCATAAAGCATCCACTAGCAAAGATTGTGTAAATAGTAAAGTGGTTACGTTGGCCAAGGTATATAAAAAAAGAAATAAATATGAAGAAGGAAGCTGTAGTTTCAAAAAAAAGTCAAGAAGTAGTTTAAATTTTAGTGAAGAAGAATCTGAAGAAGAATTATTTTCTCAATGACAAATTTAGTCATTAATTTTAATCTACAATTACATATATTTTAAAAAATATATTGTGCAATTAATAATTGAAAATAATCCATATTTTCCATTTAAACAAAAATTTTATCGCTATTTCTTAATTAATGAAATTTAATTCATTAAGTATTTTTATTCATGAATTGTATTTAAAATATTATTTAAGATAGACTGAAGAATATTTTATCTAAGGATGAATATTATGCAATATATTTTAAAATTGAATCTAATGAAATTGTAAATATAAATTATTATTGTAAAATTTGATTTTGTATATAGATATATATATAACTACAATAAAATTAATCTTATAAGGAGAGTGCAAGTCCTTCGGACCACTGATTTAGTTGAAGCTTTGCAGGTTTGTAGATATCGCCACGTAGTTTGAAAAAATATATCATTATAGTCGCAACTACTCAATAGTTGTTGAAATATTATTACATCTCTAAATTATCATTATCATTAAAATTTTATTACACCTTTAATTACAGCTTTATTTCCAATAAATGACAATTGAAGTTGTACCCCAACGGCGATACTTGTGAATTCTTATGCTAGAGGACCGGGGTTCGATTCCCGTATTTTTTTTTCAATCTATTTCTTATTTTGTATTTATTTTTCGCCTATGAAAACATTGTAAATAAACAATTGTAAATAAAATTTCTTAATAAGAATATTATGCCAGAAAAACACTTTTCTATAGCAATCTTATTTATTACAGGAAATACAAAAGCTATCGCTCATGTAAGTATTAATTAATAAATTAAACATTCTATAAGAATGTTACCTATTCCAACTTTGCTGTGCAGCTATAAATGTCGATGAATTAATTACAAAAACTTGGAAATTTATTAATTTTCTACTGCCGAATTGATTTATTAAGGTGTATTATTAGCGCATAAAGAGAACAGGTATCTAGTTCGAATTAAAATTTTACCGCCTGCCATCAGCGCCATCTATGATTTGGGCTCAAAAATCAAGAAAGTGATAGGATTATAGAATAGGCGAGGAGGTCGTCGAAGAGCTCGTCACGTGACAGACTAGGACAGAGAGGGGATAGAAAAGGATAGAATGGCTCCGGCAGTGAAAAATTATTAATTACTCCATTTCTGTAATTAATTTATGAACTTTTATAATTTCATTGCAAAGCTGGAACTTCAGGCTACATTCTTATATAATATTCGTAAAGAATTTAACTCTAAATTGTTAGTTATTAATTTTTGTTTGATGGCGTCTATGATTTCGTAACGACGGCCATCACGATCTTGCGTGAAAATATATAATACTAAACAAAACTAGAAGCAAAATGTGATCAAAAGTTATATGGGAAGATTCGCAAGAGCATTGTCTTTCTAATGAGTGCTTAAAGTTTCATAAATTAATTGCGTAAAGGATAGTAATTAATGAAAAACCAATGGCGTCTTCAACAATCTTCGACAATAATTCAAACATTTCGTAGAATAATTATTAATAATTAATTAATTAGGGACAAATTTATATCGAAAAATATATTTGAAAGTCCTTCAAGGATCTGCCTTTACGATGCAATTATAAAAGTTCATAAATTAATCACAGATATTGAGTAATTAGTGAATTTTCCATTGCCGAATTGATTTATTCAAATCAAATCGTTGCGGAACTCGAGCTTCGAGTCTAAAGTGACAGATGGCTCCGATGTTACTCGAATAGTTTACTAACTCTGGTTACGTGCTTCGAATATATTTTAATATACTTTAATAAATGAAATCATAAAATTTTCTACATTCTTTAATAAATTCAACCCGAACAGCGGTTTTAATTGGACAATCAGCATTCATTTCTTTATCTGACAGACGACGAATATGCAAGGGTACGCCTTTACAACGCAATTATAAAATTGCATAAATTAATCACAGAAATTGAGTGATTTGTTAATTTTTCTCCAAGTGAATAGAAGAATGCATAGGAAATAAGAAAAAATTGCAAACAAACGCCGGAAGCATTGTTGTGTCCATGCAGTTGTGCCTGCATTATGAAAATCATGTAAGTATTTGTATTAACATAACCTTTAGTTGTAATTAAATAGCGTATGTTACGAGCCATTGTTTTTCTACCTTTCATTAGTGATAGCAAAGCTTGATTATTGGACTCATGGAATATCGTCAGCGTAGATGCAAAGAATTATATTTTATAGCGAGAAAAAGTTGAAGCAGCGATACATATCTGTAAAGTATGATATGTCTATTTGATTCTAGGTAGGGTAGCCGTATGACATACAAAATAGAAATCTTTGATGGTCAAATAAACATTCAGAAAATGAAGGTGGTTTAAGCAGACAAAAAGGAATAGAATTAATTTAGGTTATGGCCCCTTATGACAATAAGATATGGAGAATACAGTGAGATTGAAAGGTATGTTGTATTCCTGATCTAAATAAATATTAATATCATGGTCAAAGTCAATGATCATCGCTAATGTGTTAAATTCGAATAAAAGAAGTGACAAGAGGAAACGCATGTTATGCGGAATCAAGAAGCAAAAAAGATGCAACATATGTATCAACAGAGAAAAATGTGTGGCATCGACATGGAAATATGAGAATCATTGAAGAGATGGAGAATGAACAAGTGGTAATAGTTATGAAAGGTAAAGCTAAATAGAATGTAGAGTGTAAATGGTGCATTAAGGCAAAAATGTGTAGAAATATCTATAGGAACTTGGAAACTATAGAAGCAGCAGGAATAATAGCAGGAATAATGAGGCTGTGGCACATCATGGACTTGATTGTGCCAATAAAGCCAATATCAAAAGGAGGTAAAAGATACGTCTTACCTGCTGATGATTATTTGAGAAAAGAACCATTTGGTTGACTGATTAATAAATAACTAAAGATTTAATATGAAATATTATTGATGAAGGATTTTTTCTGTTATAGGAGACATACAAACATGAGTAATATTTATATGCAAGAGCGAGCCACTAAGGGTAAAGTAATAAGTATCATTTTATAATATTTCAATGGATTGTATATCTGTTTTTAAAAATTCAACCAATATACAATATTCACTTTCTAAATTTCTATATTAATATATTAAATAATTTCTAATTGGAATTACAACAATAAATAATAAATTTTGATAAATTTGATTTTGAAAGTATTTTACATTAATAAAGCTAATATATTTGTCATAACTAGGTTACAATGAAAACAACTGTCGGTGATATTCAGTTAGAATTGTGGGCAAAAGAAACTCCAAAGGCATGTAGAAATTTCATACAGTTATGTGTGGAAGGTTATTGGGATGACATTATATTTCATGCACAGGGTGGTGATCCCACAGGTACAAGAGAAGCTGGTAAAATATATGGAGAACCATTTAAAGTGAGACTATATTTAAAAATGAAATGAATTCCTTTTTTATTCAGAAATAATTATTGGATCTATGTGTTTTAGGACGAATTTTGTACAAGAATACCTTCTTGTGGACGAGGTTTAAGTGCTATGGCTAATGCTGCAAAAGATGACAATATTTCCCAGTTCCTCTTTACTCTTGGTTCTACATCAGAATTGCAAAGTAAACATACAATCTTTGGTAAGGTTACTGAAGAGTTTATATATAACATGCTTAAACTTGAAAAAGCACCTGTAGATGAGGTAAATTTAATGTTTACAAGAAAATATATCAAGAATTTATATACAATAAATACAATATTTCTTCTGTTTTGTAGAATGATAAACCACTTTATCCTCCAAGATGGATAAAAACTAAAATATTGAACAATCCATTTTCTGATATTATACCAAGAATAATTGTACAGGAAAGTGAAGAAGTAAAGGACAGTTCAAAAATTAACCAACAGGAGTAAAATAAAAATCATATATGTTTGTAGCATTTAGCCATGATAGTATTATTCTTTGCAATGACAAATTTTGTTACAGAAACTTCAATCTTTTATCATTTGGTGAAAAGGCATAGGAAGATGAAGAAGAATCTGTGATATTAAATAAAAAGTTTAATGGTAAGGGCAAATCAGCTCATGATCATTTAACTGATTCAAGATTAAGCTCACAACCAGCTGTTGAACCATCTGGATTTGCAAATAAAAAAAGGAAGCAAGACCGCAGTAGCGATTGGAAAATTGACGACAAAGTATAAACTTAAGAAGAATTAGAAATTATGAAGAAAGAGAAAGAGTTAGTTTATTGTTTACATTATAACTATGTTAGAGAAAGTAGGAATTTTTATTTGCTGCCTTACATTTATATTTTCAGAGTAATAAAGGAAAGAATAAAAAATAAATTGGGAAATACAAAAAAGGAACGGAAGAAGGTAGACAATTATAAAATAGATGATGTTGAAGATGATAAGGATATAAAGGAAAATGAATAGGGAATAAAAAACTTATGAGGTTTAGCACAAAAGAAAGCCGAGGAGATGCACGATAAGAGATATCAATAATAATTAGGATAACTCATGTATTTGAATAGAATCATTTATCATATATCTATAAATATTGTACATATATATATGGTCATTATAATGATAATTATTACATGAAATGTATTACGAAACATCTTTTTCTCGCAACGGTTCGTGATACGAACATCTACTCAGATTCTAATGTATTTATGTCATTGTTTATTATATCGTTAATAATTAACTTGTATATGTGAAACTTTCAAAGTGAATAGAAAGTACCTAAGCATATCACCGTTGCAGTTTCATTTTCTTTTTACCAAGAACAAAGTTACTCATATTCATCTGTGATTTCATGTTCGTCTATAATAAATTCGTCAACTTTTAAAATTGCATCGTAAAAGCAAAGCGAACTTTCTAATATAATTCTGGAAATGAATTCGTTGTTATTTAAATCATTATTGGTGATTATTGCATACAGTGTTTGAGCCATTGCCGAAGATACTAATGGTTTGTCTTTCCATTAGTATAATGGAATTAATAATTCCAGTTCATGAATTAATTATAGAAATTTGGAATTTTTCGT